TGATCATTACGGCCCGTCCACACAGCGGCGTGCGTTGATGCTTGCCGGCGGGCGTGTCTGAAACTCGACCAACAACCAATCACATGAATCTCCCGCCCCTGACACACAAGCAGCGATTTGATTGGCTAGAGCTTGTACTGGCATATGATTCGATTGGCTGACGCTTCTGCCGAGGCGTCAAAAGTTGAACACTGCTCAACTTTTGTAGCGAGCCACGCCAGCAACGCTCCGCGTTGCTTCCCACGATGCAGTTCGGCGAAAAGTGACGTCACCCCATTCAAAGTGAATGGTGAAGCGTCAACGCACGCCGCTGTGTGGACGGGCCGTTATATAAAATATGCTTCCTTGTCACTTTACATACTGACAAGTCTGGCAAAGTGAGATGAGGAAGCACAACTGAAGAAATCATAGTCTGATTTCCACACCTTGCATGTTTTGCTCAGCTGTTCACACCGGCTCATTTTATTTTGGTTATGTAGTTCCTTTTCTATGACATGAAAACGGCTGGATCACCACAGAGGGATCAAAATAGGAATGAACACATGCACTGTGTAAGGTCCACTATGTTATTGATCATTTGTCAAGCAGCAGCAAACATAATGGATGAATCTGACGGACAAAATGATTGTCCATTACCTGGAACGCTTTAAAGAGAAATAGTTGCCATTACAAATTAACTGTAGCCTCGGATTAATGTATAGCTTAAGCATTTTTTTTTTCCTCAGGGGAAATGCGCATACATTTAAATAAATCTCATTGACTGCAGTCAAGCTGAGTATATGGGGAGAAGCAAATATCACAATATTGTCCAAAACCTTTATATTGGTTATACCTGATTGTAAACGTGTAGTGACAGATTGTAAAGTAGATTACGCTTCTTGTCCCATTTAGCCCACAGTCTGTAAAGCTATTATTCATTTTGGGTGGCATCTACCCCTCACTGCTGTGTCTCCTAATTCCTTTCCCCTCATGTCTCTTGTCTTATGTCCCCCTTCCAGTGAGGAGGATGGTGAGCAGGAGGACAAGTCCACCTGGTACTACAGCACCAAGGTAAATACGACTCATTGTTTCTCTTACTAGAGGTAAGAATGTTATATTTGTATATACACAAGTTTTACATTTTTTACATTTTTAACCCACCCTCCCCATTTCCCAACAATCCAGCACAGCGCAGACATGGTTCACAAACATGATGAAACCAAGTCACAATAAAGGAAATTATATATACACATGTACACATACATACATGCACATATACATTAGGGATGCCAGAAACTGACCATGATCAAAATCAAAAATCGGACAGCCCTGGCGAATAATAATCGATTATTCGACCAAAACTCTTGCATTTGACCTCTTTTGCACTTGTCAGTTTGAAGTAGTTCCACGAGGAACTCTTCTTTCGCAGCAAAGGGCTGCGCTGCTGGCTTCCTCCAAGTTTACAGTAAAAAAAACTGGTGGTGTGACCAATGGCCATTTACAATTATTAATACTATTATTAGCATTAGTCTATATTTTGGTTGAAACTAAGCCAGAAAAAAACATAAATAATAATAATAAAATATATAACAAAAATCGAATTTTAAAAATAATTTTCGATTATGGAGACTGTAACGAATATTCGAATAATCGCTGGCATCCCTAATATACATATATACCCAGGAAACAAGAAATGAACTAAATAATACATAAAGTCAACAGCCCCTCCCCATAGAGCTCAGCCATCATTCCTTGGCCTAAAATATTTAGTTTTTAAAGACTCTGTTACTCTTCTTAATTTCTTATGTGTCACAGTACAGATTTATTTAATTTAATTTAATTATCAATACAAATCTAAAAAGTCCCAGTTTTTGTATGTCTGTTGTAGCTTTGAGACAATTTGCATTGCAGTTACTGAACTCTTCCCTACCCGTGTTCTTCCCAGGTCCAGCTAGCAGAGCTCTTCGAGGGTTTGGATAAAGAGTACTGGGAG